GTCATAAGTGAAAGACTATCTGTACAGGTGATCCTTGGCAGTCCTTGGCATCTGTCTTTTCCCCATGTGCATATCTCTGTGTCTATTCTGCTCTTATATGAGTGCTAACCACATGATAAGGAGCTCTGGTAGCGCAGTGCCTAAGGCACTTGACTGCTAACCAGAAGGCCAGCGATTCAAACCCACCAGCCACTCCTCGGAAGGAAGGTTGGGCAATCTACTTCTGTAGTGATACTGCCTCGGAAACCCAAGGAGGGGTCTCTATGAGTCGGGGCCGACTTGACGGCAAACAACAACAACAACAACAACAAGTCATTGTTTACCATTGCTATAAATTGAAATTACAATTCCACTAGAAACATAATTGTACCAATAAGTATATGTTGTACATTATGAAAAAGCTGAAAGCTTCAATGAAGTAAATAAGCTGCTGATAATCATTTACATACTTTTTCCCTCCTTCCCTTTTCTGCTCAGTTGAGTTTTTCTCCATATATGTCTCCAGTGGTTCTTCTCTTGAACACTGTACCTCTACTGTAGAATGCTGTTAAAATCAAAACAGGGATCAAAATAGGAGATACTGGATAAAGTGGGAGAAAAATGTGAAACAAAACACAAAATCACAAAAGAAAAAAAGACCAGGATTACTGGTTTCATAGAGACTGGTGAAACCCCAAGACTATGGCCCCTAGTCACCCTTTGGGCCCGGAATTGAACACACTCCCGAGGCTTCCAGCTGAACATTAGACAGATATATAAGGTGAACATTTATACCAAGTAAGTATACTCCTTAGAACAATCAACCATGCGAGATCAGAAGGGCAATATTTGTACAGGGAGATAGCTCAGAGGGCATGAATAGGAAAGAAGGACACACGGAAAAGGTAACCACAGGGAGGATGTGGGAAAAGAGTTGTTACATTATAGGGATTGCATACAATGTCATGAAACAGAATGTGTATGAACTGTTGTGTGGAAAATGAATTTGTTCTGTAAACTTTCCCCAAAATCACAATATAAATAAATAAAAATTAGTAGCACCCAAAAAAGAGTTTCACATTTCACATCATCTAGATTAACAGTATAAATACAAGTGAGAAGTCAAACATTCAAATGTACTTCCAGCTCTGTTCTGAGCAGATCCTTATATTGCATGAATTGCCTTTGGCCTATCACCCTGAGCCATTCAGCATATGAAAGTACAGAAACAAGATGATGTGAATACACTAATGCAATGTAAATTATATATATACATCTCTGGTAGCATAGTGCCTAAGGCACTTGACTGCTAACCAGAAGGCTGGTGGTTCAAACCCACCAGCCACTCCTCAGAAGGAAGATGGGGCAATCTACTTCTGTAGTGATACTGCCTCTGAAACCCAAGGAGGGGTTGCTATGAGTTGGGTCGACTCAACGGCATGTAACAACAACAACAACATGATTAATTACTCTGTGAAAACAACTATAAAATTAGGAAAAACTAATCCCTTTTAAATAATTCTTTCAGTAATTAGAAAGGGCTATGTTCTATCTATAAATTCAGTGTATGGGTAAAGTTCTGAGAACACTAATAATACATAAAAGTATATATATATGTACAAAAACTAAACATTATTAGCTGAATTATATACTATATATTTTTGAATAAAGGACACTTTAACAATTTTTATTTTAACTTACTCAAATGGTTTATGAATTGAAAATTTATTTGCCTTGAATTATTAAACATCTTGGCAACAGAATTTTAGTGGAAAAAAGTGCTGCACAGCATGGCTCTACTCTATAATCCACAGTCCACCTTTAAGAGATGATATGATGTATTGAATAACAGTGAATTAAAAAACTTCAGGATAATTTAAACACTAGACAAAAGTAGAGTAATTTTATCCACTAATTAACTTACTTCTTCTGCATGCTGTGGTAAAGTCTGAATGCAAATAGCAATACTGGGACTTCTGACATTTTCAATGGGCTCTTTGGTATTTTCTATAGGGAAACAAAAGAGGAAGAGAAAATTGACTGCTTGAAAAATAATCTACTGATGTTTCAGAAAGTTCAGGGAAAATTACAGAAGACAAATTAAAATGGAAGGAACACTTTCCACCATTCTAACAAAAATATTTTTAAAAACCTGGAAACAATCCCCTCATCATCAGGTGAATCCCAGATGAGTCTTGGGAAGCCTCATATCAGTGTTTATAACTTTGTAAAGCTCTAATAGTTTCTGTATTTTTTAATAGTTCTGGTTTTAAGGAAGACTTATAGGAGTTTCATGGAACTGGTTAAAAGAAATGAAGAAACTCATCATAATTACATAAACAAAGAAAAAGGTTCAATATTTGTAAAAGAGTTTGAGGTTGTTGTTTAGGCTGCTGAGTAGGTTCTGACATATAGAGACCCCATGTACAAAAGATCTAAACAGTGACCAGTTCTGTACCACATTCACAATCATTGTGATGTTTGAGCCCATTACTGCAGCCACTTTGTCAATTCACCTCATTAAGAGTCTTCCTTTTTTTTGCTGACCCTCTACTTAACCAAGCATGATGTCCTTCTCAAGACTGGTCCCTCCTGATAACATGTCCAAAGGATGTGAGACAAAATCTCACCATCCTCACTTCTAAGGAGTATTTTAGCTTTACTTCTGCCAAGACAGATTTGTTTGTTTTTCTGCAGTCTATAGTATATTCAATATTCTTCACCAACACCGTAATTCAAAGGCATCAATTCTTTGGTTTTCTTTATTCATTGTCCAACTTCTGCATGCATATAAGGCAAATGAAAACAGCATGGTTTGGGTCAGGCACACCTCAGTCCTCAAAGTGACATCTTTGCTTTTTAACACTTTAAATTAGAGTTCTTTTGCAGATTTGCCCTATGTAGTAAGTCATGTAATTAATTTCCTGACTGCTGCTCCCATTGGTGTTGATTGCTAACACAAGTAAAATGAAGTTCTTGACAACTTCATTGGTTTTCTCCGTTTATCATGATGTTGCTTACTGGTCAAGTTGGGAAGATACTATTTTCTTTATGTTGAGGTATAATCCATACAGAAGGCTACAGTCTTTGATCTTCATGAGTAACTGTTTCAAGTCCTCTTCATTTTCAGCAAGGAAGGGTGTATCATTTGCACAATGCAGGTTATTAATTCTGATGCCATATTATTCCTTGTATAGTCTAGTTTCTCAGATTATTTACTCAGCAAACAGACTGAATAAATCTGATGAAATGATGCAACCAGAATGCACAATTTCCTGATTTTAAAAAATGGACTATCCTCTTGTTGTGTTTGAATGACTTTGTCTACGTACAGCTTCTGCATAAGCACAATTATACTAACTTAGACATAAGTTATCGTAGATAATCATTATTCATCAATATCAAATTAGTAAAGTCAAAGATTATCTAAATGAACTGACCTTCATAGTCTGATATGTGCATATCCATTTCCTCCTGTGTGAATGTTTCTACTTCTTCTAAAAGATCCTCATCAATATTTCTAAGCTCTTTTTCAGGATCAGGATCATGAGTGGCAGAAATAATATCATCATTGATTTCTTTTATTTCAGGTTTTTTTGCTTCAGTTGGCATTCTATGAACAAAAATACACCAGCTACAATAATGACCCATTCTTAAAGACAGAGTTCACTTTTGTTTCATTTGGTTTTTTCGAACAAAGAACTCAGTTTTCATATTTATAAAAACAAAAGCTCTCTTTTTTAAAAAATCATGAGTGGTACGCACTATAAAGCCCAATAAAAGGCTGCTCAATGAATAACTGAACATCCTAGTTTCTGTTTATGCAAAAGATTAGAATAATTTCAACTTATCTAAATTGTGGGTCAGTCTTACAAAGGAATTTTCCTGATATAAGGGCTTTGGCCTTGGTGTTCAAAGCTATTTTAGTCATAGGATTGCTTGATATGTAGATATAGATGAAATGATTAATTTAACATCCTCCCACATGGGAAATAAATTAATATAAGCAAATACAGGGAACTTTCAGGATATATTAGGCCTGCACTCAGAAGCTACAGGTAGATCAATAGAGAAGAAACATAATTGGTAATAAATTGTTACAGCAATTCAGATAGTGCTCATTTCCTGCTCTTCTAATTCAAAGAAATGCTCATTCTTTCCACATTCAAGGGTTTAATTCTTCCCTTTAAACCCAAACATCAAGCAAGTTATATTCTATTCAAAGAGAGGGTATATTCAGAGAACAAAAACCAGACAAGGATGCCCACTATCACCACTTCTATTCAACACTGTACTGGAAGTCCTAGCCAGGGCCATAAAGCAAGAAAGGAAAATCAAAGGCATCCAATTGGCAAGGAGCTCTGGTAGCATAGTGGCTAAAGCACTTGACTGCTAACCAGAAGGCTGGCGGTTCAAACCCACCAGCCACTCCTCGGAAGGAAGGTTGGGCAAT